GTATGGGGCTGCACAGTCCCAATTTGCGTTGATACTTTCATGACTCTTTAGTTTAATTTAAATGAAAACTATCAATTCCAATTTCCAAGTAAGTTTTTTAGTTGAATTTGATTTATTAGATAAAATAGTCTAAATTGTAAGAAAAAATTGATTAAGTAGAGATTTGTTTGGATTTTGAGTTGTGGGTGGATATGATTTAAAATATAGCTATTAAAATTGATATGATTTAAAAGTAATAAAATAATAGTTGTAAATAATTGGTGTTAAAAATATAAAATTGATGAATAGTGAAAATTTCCAGAAATTTTATGAAGTAATAAGATAATTTTCTTATGAGTCCTCCATCATTTAATGTATTGACACATGTCCAATCAAATAATATCAATATAATTTAACTCATATATAATATCAATATAATTAAATAATATCAATCAATCATAATCACAATTCCGATATAAAAAGTTATTCCACTAACTAAAATGAAAATAATCAAAATACCAAATCATAAAGTAGACAGGCTAATACTGCTGCATCAGGTAAAATTTTACATAATTATTAATAATGATTAAAACTTAAACGGTAAATTCAACTTAAATTCTCCCTCCCCTTTTCAACTTCCAAATCAATACCCCTCTGAATTTTTTTCCTTTGCACTCCCTTTCACTAATTTTCTCTTTCTATTTCACTCTTCATATATATAGTAATGTATTTATTATTCATTTATTTTGCACAATATCTGAAAGTGTTGGATTTCTTTGTTTTTTGCTCTCTCTCTCCTCGCCATATCTGCTCTCTCTCTCTCCCTCGCCATATCTGCTCTGATTTTTGGACTTTGTTCCTAATTTTAGGGTTTTTTTCAATTTAGAGGCTTGAATTTGAAAATGAGGGTTTTTTTCAATTTAAGGTTTGAATTTGAAATTAAGGTTTTTCTGTGTAATTGAATTTATGTGAATTTCTCAGTAATTAGGGCTTTTCTGTAATTGAATTTCTGTGAATTTCATAATTTTAGGGCTTAAATTTAAATAATTTAGGGCTGTAATTTGTGTAAATGAATTTCTGAGAACATTATATTCTTTTAGCATTTTCATATAAAGAAAGAATCTATATTGTATTGAATGTTCTAAAACTTTCATTTAGGGCTGTAATTCGAATTTTTTTGTTTCTTATGTTTGAAAATTCTCTTTATTTGTGATAGGGCACCGAACTAAGATGCAGGTGTGCCCCATCATATTTCAAATATGTGATGGATAGAACGGTTGATGTGCTCTCGAACAAGCACAAAGAGGCTATTCAACGGAGCCCTTTTTATTTTTTTGTGAATATGCCCGATGTAGCAATTTTGCATAGTAGAGTAGAGGCTCTAGTTAGCACGTATAGGGTAGACTTGAATGCGTTTGTTCTTGGTGATAATTTGTTTCTTAATTTTGACCCCGCCGAGTTTTGTATAACTATGGGGCTACGACAGGTCTAAGCGTAGACTTTGACCTTTCTTTAGATTCGAAAACCTTATTCGACGGCTGGGGTCGAGTAGGTAAAAAAACTGTTGAAAAGAAAGCATGTCGTAGATCTATTAGAAAAGTTTACTGTTGATGAAGGTCGTGTAGAAGACTTCATCAGGATGTATAGTTTGCTCGTTTTTAGTTGCATTTTGTTTCTTCGTTCGAGTTATTCCATCCCCAGGTTTGTTTACCCTTACCTGGAGGATGTGAGTCGAATTTGTGAGTATGCATGGGGAGATGCTACTCATAAATTCTTACTTGCAGAGCTTGTTCGCCATGGTGAATCGACCGAGCTTACTTTGATGGATGTATCGTTTGGCTGATGGTATGTATATATGTGTTTCAATGTCTTAATACAATAATATTAAATTGTGAGATTGTGTAATTTTGAAATCATGTGTATGTGTGTAGGCTTGGTTGTACAAGTGTGTGCCTTCTCTAGGCAAACGTTCCATGCTCGAGGTGATTCCCCGTCTATTTCCATGGACGGGGACTACGATGCCGTCTACATTTGAAGGGTCTTTACAATCCCTTAAAAAAATAATGAGGCATAAGGTAATTTATATAATTTTATAGTATTATGTGTTTTCTACTTCTTCTTTTTATCTTTTTGGCTAATCGATATTGTACTTAAAATCATTATGATTTGCTTTGCAGGTGTATTCGGTATCCCCTGTTTTAGAGGAGCGTGCGTTTGTGGAAGCTCAGGTTTTCTTTTAATTTTTGTCGAGATTTTATGTTTTAGCATTAGTATATTTTCATAGGTTTAAGTATCTTTAATTATGTTTTCCTTTAATTTTTTTTCTTTCATGTACAGGGAACGTTTGAGAACAGACTCTATGCCATCATTTGTCATGAAAACGATGAACTTAAAAAAGAATTCAACTGTTGGAGTCTCGGTGGAGAGAAAAAAATAACGAAGAAAAAGAAAGAGAGGAAGAAGAGGCTGATGGTGGTGATGGTGTTGGTTTTGCTGAGGAAAAAGAGGAGAAGGAGGAGGGAAAATAGGAGGAAAAAGAGGAGGAGGAAAAAAAGGAGGAAGAAGAGGTCGATGAAAAAGAGGAGGAAAAACAATGGGCTCTAATGGTTGTTGAAAATCAACCTGTTGTGAATGAGTTTGAAGACTTGGACCGATTGGTAAACCTTGTAGTGAAGAAGGCTGCTGGTTTGGGGGAGGAATCGGCTTGTTCGAGGGTGGAGGAGAAGCAACGGCCCTCCTCAATGGTGAGGAGGGTCCTGGAGAGGGTAGGTAGGAAGAAGAAGACGAAGTCGGTAGATTTTATGACCCCTCCGTCATCCGGTCCGAAGAGGCAGAAGAAAGAAAAAAAATCGCAATTGGTGACCTTGGTTGATGATGAGGTTATTAAACTAGCAATTTTATTTTTATAATTTATGTGATTGTTCGTGTTGTTTTCATATAACTAACTAACTATTCTGTAATGTAATGTAGAAGGGTGACAAGAGTGACGACGATGAGGATTCTTCTCTAAATCAATACAGGGGCAGAGAAGATTTCTGTGGACATGGGGATGTCCAGAAAGAGGATGTTGCAACCATCCGGTCGTAGCTCGGTTCATCTCTCAATTTCTCCTTAATTGCATTTGCGACCTAATGAGAGTGCTTTCGGATGCCCCCTTGTCCGAAGATTGGACACTCCACAATTATGGACTAAATTGCTCTTCCGGATGGCAAAGACCTGATCACCTTTGTATTTTAAGGCAGATATTCTCCATTGACAACCCTCATCAGTACAACAAACAATGATCTTCTGTTGATCATTTTTTCGGTACTTAAAAGAACGTCTATTTGCAATCGCGTAGTTTTTAATAACCTTCCAAAATTCATCGGCACCGCCACTGAATGTATGCCCCTCTCCTTTGATGGAAAATATCCAAGAATCGATCAATTTATCTTACACTACCAACTCCAATTCTCCTTCCCGTAAGATTTCCCTACGTTCATGATAAAATAATACATTTTTTTATAAATAATGGAACTAGTTAAGAAATTACTGAATTAGGATATGATGATACAAATACACCATATATCAATAATAAATTCATTAATATTATAAAAACAACATTACCTGCTCATACTCATTGGCATGGATTGAACTCCATTATTTGGTCTTTCATTTCTTCCAATGCACGGGCTTTCATTTCTTTCAATGGCAACTATCTCTACAATATTTACTTTCCAACAAACATGTAACCGAATCATGTTTTTTACATCCTCATCATCGGACAAACAAATTCTCTTTTTTTCCTTTGGTGCAATATAGTTTAACATGACGGTTTCCAAACTAACAATCGACCACCTCTTAGCAATGAGAGTGTATACTTCGTCAAGAGTTGATTCAAGGTTCATAGAGAACACATACATTTCATCTTTGTATGTACAACTCCCTAATATATCATTTTGTGCCCCTTCCATGTATCTAACAATAATTGGATTAAAAAAAAAAAAAGTTCACATTTCCCAGCACATATGGTATCAACAGTGAGCAAAGTGGTACTGTATATACAAACAGAGGTACACAAATCATGAATAGTAGTACTATGATTATTCTCATCTTATTTTGTTTATTTTATGGTGAATAACACCTAACAATAGTATAAATTTAGTATACATGAAAAAAAAAAAGGATTATGATCACTTTATTTGTTTTAGGGTAAATATAAACAACAATATTCAAAATTCAATCCTTCATAAATTAAACAAAAATATATGAATTAAAGATGATTTTTGGACTCCAAAGTTCTTATATAATACATACATTACTTACTACTTCAAGTTTTCGCAGGAAAAAGGCCCAATGTTACCGCAAAAATAGGAATTTTCGGACAAAGAAATAAGAATTTTTGGCCGGAAAAATCCCCAATGTCGCCGGATTTGTTGCCTCCGGAAAAAGCCCCAGGTCCGATTTGTATTCGCCGGCGAGATGAAGCTGCGAAAAATAAAATACACGCCGGCGATGAAGAAGAAAAAAGCAGGAAAGAAGAATGGGGAAAAAGAGTAGGGAAGAAATATTTTAGGTAACAAAAATAATTTAATAATGTGTAAAAATAGGTAGATAGTGAGATGATGTCACTTTTAAATTTCTTTGTCATTTTTTTTAATAGGAGGAATTTAAATAGAACACTCCCAAACTATGCCGATATTTAGAGTTTGCCTTACGAACATTCTTGACAATTTGCCTCCCATAGTAATCGAAACTAAAAATTTGCCTCCTCGATTGAAAACCCTAATATGGCACAAAAAAGTTTTTAACTCAATTAATGATAAATTTTAAATTGATCTTTAAAATTGATTTAGGACTTTTAAATCCCATGGCGATACGAACAAAATAAGATATGGTTT